CTAAGAAATTACTCTCTAAGGTGTGCATATTCTGGAGCTGAGTTCTTCAGAGCCTCCTTTTGCAAGCAGACCATGGCATTCAAACAGTGCTTGTCCCAATGCTGCCCTGGCTTGCCCGGCCCATGGGAAGCTCTGGAGTGGTTTGCTCTTGCTCACAGAGGGACAGACACTCACCTCAGCCTCAGCAGTTGGTGCTTTTCACTCTGAGGATATAAAATGCACTTGGGCTTGGAGAATCAGCCCTATTTTACAGTCCCTAGCCATTTGCATTCTCACGTTGGTTCCTTGCAAAGAAATTGCTTTGGCTCTGAGCAGTATCTCCCTTTGACATTTCCCATTCCATTGCTTCCACTTTTTTTAAAGGAGAAAAAAATTCCAAAGCCCTTAAGGTAATTATGTCTTTTCAAAAAACGTGTAAGGCATTGCACATGCTTTGTAAACATGGGGGAAAACCTGGGCTGTCCCCACTGCGACCGGGCCCCTTAAAAAAGCTGAGAGTAAACTCTTAACAAAGAGCCTGGAGCCATAAACCTCTCTATTTGCTCTGCTCTCCCTTTCCTAACCTAAAAGCAAGTGTACTTATACAACCAGCTACTCTAAATATGTTCCTGTTGTCAATTGTTAACCAAGGTGAAAACGCTCTTTAAATATGCATCTCCAGTTTGCCCAGTTTAGAAGATGCTGTTTGGAGCCTCACCTGTAAACAGGGAATGCATCAGAAGGGGTGTTTCAGAGACACGTCTGAGTGCTCTGGGGAGTCTGCAGCTGGGTATTAGAGCAAAGCCTGAAGCTTGGGCATGAGTTCTGGGGCACTGTCCTCTCCCTTTCCATCTGCTAAGCTTCAGCTCTTGGCAAAGCAGCCAGTTTACCCAGAAAAGGGGCTGGTTTTGGGAGCACACGGCCATGGAGTGTCACCAGGTAACAAACACAATGCAAGCACAGAACCCACTGCCATTCACCTGAGCCTTTAATGCCAACGCAGGGAGCTGTGAGGCCACGGCAGGGCTTTCCCCCCAGAGCTGTCACAGGAGGCAGCACTGCCAGGGCTCCTCCCCAAGGCTGTGGGAGATCAGTTCTGCAGCTTTTAAAACCAAGATGAGCAGCATAGGTGTCTTTTTTCTTTCAGGACCAAAATGGAAAGTCACCTGTACTAACCCACAGGTGTTGGAGGTGGTGACACATCACACGTCTTGGCACACAGCATCAACACCCCAAACCTACAGCTCTCCAGTGACCTCCATTTATTACTTCTCAGGGGCTCAGTACTCCTGGAAATCAGATGCTTTGGCTGCACATGAAATACTTTCTTGAGCTGAGTTTAAATGCAAACAGCAAAGTGCTGAACAAAATGCCCTCCTTGCAGCTGTAGTTCCTAAAACTAAAATGTGCAGAAGAGTAACAGTTGCAAAGAAAAAAACTGGAAAAACTCCTGTAAGAAATACAGGTATGAACTTTTCCCCCCTGTTGGTCACAATTAATAATTCCCATTCTTATCTAAACAGTGGTGAAATATTAATAAATTCACAAATATCAGCCAGCATGAAAAACACGTGAAATTCTTTTTCTTAGGTAAATAACAAAAAAACACAACCCAATCCCAATCCAAGTTTGTAATTGCACATAATAGCTTTTCCACATTGAAAATTAATTGACTTACTGCTTAAGCAGTTCTAATTTTTGTTAGATCTTCCTTCAATTCATTTTGCATCTCCTCATCTGTCACAGCCCCTCCTGTCATAGCAGGACATCCCACGCTCCCCACCATAGGTCTCTGTAACTATCTGCTTTCCTTTTTTTTTGTAGTGGTGGATAGACTTCATTCTTTTTAAAGTGTTTTAACAACTTTGTTTTCTTCTGTGCTTCCCCCCACCCCCCTGTTTCCAAAGACCTGGAAAATGTGTACTTGTGAAATTAAAATATCATCAGTACTTCACTGAGACTTACTCCATCAACTCTTATTTTACTCTGTGTAACATTATTAATTTTCCTGCTCATTTTTAGTCTTTTACTTTGTTGTCCACATTGTCATTAACCATCTGTGCTGAAAAGAAATATATAACATTTTGTAAAAAATAGTAATTTTATTGTTTCAAAAAGATGTCATATAAAGCTTGTACTGGCTTTCATCTCATTTTCAAACAAATATGTCTTCAAGAGTGAGCTTGGAGGTTTTACCTGATGAGGTATTACTTGCTATTACATGCAGAACTGAGAATCATTAACTGATACAAGTTTAGAAAGAATGCATATTTATTTTGTTCTTTGGTTAAGTATTGTTTCTACACTGTTTCATAAAGATAAAATAACAAGATTATAAATTTTGATGAGAAAGGCTGAAAACACTCTTCAAACTAAGGCTGGTTTTTCACTGTTGTCACTATTATAAATCCTTTCATTTAGGCCAGAGACACAAAAAGGCAGAAGTCATCTTAAAAAAAGTTTTCACAAGGGTCAAAAATCTCTCCAAAAGCATAACAGGGTCTCAAAACTTCCAGAGTTGGTTTATTAGCCCGTGCTCTGTTTCCGAAGTCCCTGTCAACTCATCATATTCAGACCCCCAGGATCAGAGGCCCTTTCTCTGTGCAAAGCTTTGGTCACAACCAACACGTGAACCTGGGAAAAAAAGAAACCCCAAACGTTTGGTTAAAGGAGACCTGAGAGTCAGAGATGCACTGCAAGAACTGGTAAAAATGATAACTATAATGTATATTAAATTGAAAGAAAACTGGAGGAATACTCACAAACAGAATCACTAGGTGCCCTCAGAAACCAGTTCTATAAAATAACAAGGAGAATATAAGTATGGGCAGTGTTATAAACTCACCCTACTGACTTGTGACACAATTTAGAAGTCAGATGGGAAACGACTGCAACAACTTCCTCCCCAGCCTCCAGCAAAGGGCTCTTTGGGACGTGTCCAGATGGTCATCAAGGCCAGGCTCTCCCTGGCCAGACCCACCTTCTTCCCCCAGGAGAGGTGTCAGACTTCAGCCTGGCTTGGTGAAATGTGGCAGCACCACTCATCTGGCACAGAACAAGCACACAAATGTGCCCCCCAACACTTTACTGCTTGCAGGTGTAGTCCGTCCAGTGACATCACATCTGAGGCTGAAGGACAACTCACACAGCCTGCATGGCAGCCCAAATAGGAACTACTCCCTGGGTCTATTCCTCACCTGAAATGAACAGTTTAATTGCCATTTATCACATCCCATCTACGTGTTTGGTCTAGTGGAAGGTGCTCCTGCCCATGGCAAGGGGGTTGGAATGAGGTGATCTCTAAGGTGCCTTCCAACCCAAACCATTCTGTGATTCTATTAAAAAAAAATAAACACCAAAACAATACCAAAACCACACAAAAATGATTTAAAGTACCAGACAAATCTGCACTCTGCATTTAGAGTTTTTCAAATGTTCTTTGTCTGTTGCCTCCATGCTCTTTGCTGTGATTGCACCAGACTCTGCTGGCTCACAACAGCGAAGCTAATAAAGTCTCCCCAAGAATGGCTCCTGAGGGCTCCTTCCTGCACAGGACTGTGGGGACAGGTGCCTGCAAAACTGATGGGATCTCAGCAAAGGTCTCTTTGCAGGATCAGGGGCAATAATCCTGCCTGCCCCCACTGCATGGGGATGTCTGGCAGCAGCGTGGTGAGCTGGGGCTTGCTGTGTGTGGAGGTACTGGATGCAATGATCACTTTATTCTTTATTCTATTCATAATTTTTTGCATTGGTGTTTATTTCCTTACTAATGGAAATTGATTTCTGCTCAACTTTAAACAATTGCAGTTAAAAGGAGCCTGATAATAATAACTCTGAGAGGGGTTACAAACCCAGAGCTGAGACCAGAGGGCCATCATGTCACCTCAGGGTAACCTCCCCAGGTTACCCAGGTGGGTGGAGCTGAGACAGATGAGCTACTTCTTCAGTCCAGTTATCCCTCTGCCCCTCACACCATCCCTCCCTACCTGCATTTCCACAAAAGCTCTCAGGCACCTTCCACCCCACTGTCTATCCGAGAGCTCTCTGAAGGGCTCTCCGAGAGCTCTGCCATTTAAATGCAGGGCTGTTTGAGCCTAGCATTTGCCAAATCCAGTATTTTCTGGCAGCTGGAGCCATGGCAGCCTCTGTCTGTGCCCTGAGCAGGGTGAGCACAGGCAGCAGATCTGATTCCCCACCCAGCTCCCCCCAGCCTTGGCTGGATCATCCATGATCCCTGTCCTGTCCTGCAGGCCTGCACTGCTCAGAATAAGGCAGCTCAGAGAAAACACACATCGAAGTATGTCCTCAGAAAACGATGTTATCTTAAGGACTTCGTAGAATCATGGAATTGGTAAGGTTGGAAAAGCCCTTTAAGGTCACCAAATCCAACAAAACAGCATCATATTCATCAGTAAACCATGCCCTTAAGTGCCACAGCTACACAGCTTTTGAACACTTCGGGGGATGGTGACTCCACCACTACCCTGGACTGCTTGTTCCAATGCTTGACAAGCTTTTCTGTGAAGAATTTTCTCTTAATGTCCTAATGTCTGAATCTCCTTTGGTGTAACTTGAGGCCATGTCCTCTCATTCTCTTCTTGCCTTCAATAAATATAGATACTGAACTAAGAAACTATCAAGTTATAACAATGAATTTTACTCAGTTTTTAATAGTTTTTTAAAATTGAAATCCTGAAGGACCATTCAGTCAAATTAATCTCCTGGTCATTTCCAGCTTTAGGGTGAGACTAAATGACACAGCTCACCACTGTCAGCTCAGTTCTCCTTTGTTTTAGCAGGTTTCTCCTCCTTCCCAGTGGACCTCTGCCTTTCCCCCAGGTCTTTTGCCAATCTGTAGTACAAGTTACACAAAGTCTGTCTGATTTATTAGTGCCCTCAATGTGATCTCTGTGCTTCTCTGAGTTTCCTTCCAAATTCCCCCTTCTCTGGCTATCATCCACAGCCAGATCATACACCTTTAGCACCAGAATTTAATAGGAAAGAAATTATGGAGACAATAATTACTGAAAAACTATTTGATATTTAAAAAAATCCAACATAATCTTCCCACTAACAAACAGAGAAGAAATCAGAGAAATAAAATCACTAAATGGTTTTAGCCATCACTTCTCTCCAAGTCCCTTTCCAGTTTGTTTGAAGTTTTCCAGGAAGTTCCAGTCTGGACTCAGGCTGTCTTTCTATTCTTTCTCAAGGTCTGCTTTTGTTGAATAATGCACATGGAAGAGAAAATACAGCTAGCTAGGAAAAAAAAGTGAGTGTGATCATGAAGTGCAGATAAACTTGCCATTTCTTTTGTGAAGGCTTCTATTCTGTTTTTCAAATGAGGGCAAGATCAGCTGAATCTGTGATTTATATTAAGAAAAAAAGATAGTCCTTGCCTCATTTATCTACAATGTGTAAGTGGGCCCCCGGATCCCTTCTCATTCTGCCACTTCCCAAGCAGTTGTTTGATCTCAACCCCAGCAAGAAAAGGCTCTGTCAGAGCAATGGCAGTGTTGGAGGCTGAAACAAGGATTTTATCAGAGGGGTTTCAGTGGGAAAAGGGAAGCTCTGGGGTTCACCTGCTGAAATGAGGCAGTTTGTTCCAAGTGCAGCAGCTGCAGTCTGGCAAAGCTTGACTTTGGGATTCAATTAAGAAATGCATTTCTGACACATAATTACCAAATGATTGGGCTCTGTTAAGTTTGGGGATGAATTCTTCAAAAGGATATTATCTTTTCTTTGAAAAGGAACTGTAGTTTCAGGTGACCTGGAATACTTCCTATGTTACCATTTTTTCCAGGTAAAGTTTCCATTTGTCTTTTATTTGTTTCAGCTTGAATATGTGTTATGAACTTACCCTTCTCTGTTCTTTGCAGAAAGATTTTGCTCAACTCCTTCCATCAGGCTCCTGAAGCTCTGGCCCAGGACTCCATGTTTGCTCTCAGAGTGCTCAGCAAGGTGGCCCTAAGGTCACTGGAGTACTGCAGTAGCAAAGTAGAGAATATTAAAAATGAGGTTTGGAAATTTAACCCCGAAGTTACTCACCTGGTGAAGCTGTGAGCGAGTCCACGTTGCCCTCTGGGTGAGGAGCCTGGCCAGCAGCAGGCAGGGCTCTGACCCCGATGGGGTCCAGGCACTGAGCCCTGACCTGCACCAGCACCAGCTGTACAGCAGGACTGGAGTGGGATCAGCAGTGGGCATTGGCCCCTAACCAGTTCCAACTCAGAAAGCCAAGAGAGAGAGGTAGCAGGAATATCCTTGAGCACTTTTCAGGTCTTTTCAGAATGGTACAAATTTGGGCTCTTTGCTGTGTGCTCTCGAGAAGCTTCATCATCTCTGTCCTTTCTGTAGTACTATTCCCATTATATTCTGACAGATCTATGGACTACTTAAAGCAGAACTTTGTATTACCTTAGAAGAATGTTGGTTTATGTTAGAAACACGGAACAGGAGGGGACCTCTAGTGCTCCACTACCTTGCTACTACAGCCAAGCAAGTCATATAACCCCGTTTAGTCTTTATTACATTGACCGTGTCAGTCAGAGCCTGATGGCCTTGGGCGTAAGCACATCCCTGGGATAAGCACTTACAATTATGCAGAGGAGAATGAATCACTCTGATAAACCTGTGCCCACATACCTGGCAAGGTTTCTGAGCAGTCTGATATTGCAGTCTAGAGGAATATTGCCCGTATTCCACAAATTCCAGGTGTATAAAAAGAGAGCTTTTTGAAGGTAGGCTGAAAATCAGTTTTTAGTATGCAAAATTTAGTAGACTTTTGAAGTTAATGTAACTTGAAGGGTGTCATACAGAGTGTTAGAAAGCATGAAAGTCTGAGATTTGTTTGCCAGATTTTTTTAAAAACCTTTAACAGGTGTAAACCTATTTAAACCTTAAACAAATCTCAAAATAAACACACACCATTACCATCAAAATTACAGCTCTTCTGTACACATGCAAAAATGTGGGATAATGAAAGAAAATGTAGTAAAACTGTAACACTAAGGATAAGCCATGACAATTCTACAGGATTATGGGAAGTGTTTGCTTTAATGTTTCCTTGGTAAATTCTGTGCTCTCAGCACAGTTCCTCTCAAACCAGAAGCACCCTGTTCTGTGTTACTGTCTTTGCTGCCAATGCAGCAGTGCTGGAAGCAGAGGCAGGAGCTGATCACACAGTTGGGTCCTAAACCACTTAGGAGCCCTAAATCAAAACTGAACATCTTCTGGGAGCAGGTGCATAGGACCTGTGCCTAACACAGAAGCCCTGTCTCACAGTGACAAATGCAAAGTTCAGGCCACCTGAAGACCACAACCCTGAGACCTTGTCCAGTGTCTGTTCCAGGAACTTCAGTCAACCCTATAATAGAAAGCATCAACAGCATCCTCAAGCAACAGCAAGGAATAACATCTCTGCCTACCATTCCTGAACACAGCATCCCATGACATCCATGTATCAACACCATGGAGCTGTTCTGAGCCCTGGGGTTTAGAATTATGAGAGAGTTTGGGTTGGAAGGGACCTTTAAAAGTCACTGAGTTCAACCCCCTCCAGTGAGCAAGGACATCTTCAACTAGATCAGGTTACTCAAAGCCTTGTCCAGCCTGACCTTGAATGTTTTCACAGATGGAACATCTCTGGGCAACCTGTGTCATTGTTTTACCACCCTCAGTGTAAAAAATGTTTTCCTTATATATAATCTAAATTGACCATCCTTCAGTTAAGAAGCATTAAAGATTCTGAGGCCTCTCTGCAATCACAGAACCATTGATCATCTAGTTCCAACCCCTCTGGGGTTGGGCAGGGACACCTTCTGCTACACTAGGCTGCTCAAGGCCTTAAACAACACACCTCTGCCCATGCAGGCGAATGCCTGTGTGCTTTGGTTGAAGGACAACAGCAAGAGGGAGACATTATCAGGATACAGGTTTTCCTGCCAAACTCTTGCCCCAGCATTTAAATTAAATCTGCTGCTGCACTTCAGTAAGGAAACAATGTCAGGAGCCACGTGCAACCACCCCAGTGATACTGAGCTGCTGCTGTCTCAAAAGACTCAGTGCTATGTTAGGGTGGACCCTGGGTACAATTCCCATTTTGGCCTAACTAACCTTACTGGTGCAAGCATGTATCAATGCCAGTTTTTCTGAGTCACTAAGTAAAAGCAACACATTCCCTTTGAAATGAGTTATAGGCAAAGAAGATCTCATTAAAACAAAAGGAGAAGAGAACAAGCAGTAAAACATGGTAACTGTGTTCTTGCTATCTCAGGAACTGTAGAGACCCTACCTGAAATAAAGGAACCCATTCCCAATAAATAAATCAGCAGTGCACTGAAATGAGCCAAGCAAAGATGACTTTTACAGCTATATATAAGTATGTGTCCTACTTTTTCTGAACATGAAATAAATAACCTTGATGCAATAGGGGCAATACAAATATTGTAAATCCTATTTCTTGTTCTCCACCCTTGCAAAAGAAATGTAAGACTTGTTCGTAAGTACAAGTGCTTGTACATATCCACGTCTGCTAAGCAAACCCCATAATCATTAGAACTAGTCTAATTTCAGTAAAAAGAGTATTCTGCCAGTCACAAATTTATTCCTTATGATTTACAGCTCCATGGTTTTATCTTCAAGTGAAATATTTAATTTCTTCTTATATTGAAGTATCAAACCCACATAATTAATATGTAGTCAGGCTAATCCTTAAATGCTATAAATCAGAAGCATTATACAAACAAAAGTGTCGTCTTGAACAAGATTGGGAATGCACAAAACTACTTATTTCCCACTTTTATAATGATGCAGTGACTCAGAGCAGATAGAAAATGATTAGTTTTCCTTCCAAAGTAGGAAATATTGCTTCCATCTGTAAAGTATAATATTGTGATGCCATAAAGTTTTCCTAAACACTGAATTTGCCCTTATTCCCTCTCAATCATTTTAAAAGAACTGCTCTCTCTTATAGAGCTTGGATTTAAATCACAATAACACACCAAGAAGATGAATGACAGTGCTGTTGGATATGGCTAAAATTGGATCCTTCAGCACAGGTGAATGATGAGACAGCTCTTCTCTTCTTGATATATTTTCTTCTTCTATTAGTTTCCTCCCATGGCTGGGATTTCAGTGTGAATTTTAATGTATGCGGTTGCTGCTAATCTTAGTGTCTGATTTTTTTCCAGCACCCTCTTATTGTATAGACAATTCATTCTCCAAAGCAGTAATACACTGAGGCTTGTGACTGCCCAGGAAATAAAGCAATTCAGAATAAAGTTAGAGCCAGCTCTGCAGAAAGGCACAGTCAACAGGTCAATATCTTCAGAAACGACAGCTCACCACACAAAAATGCACACATTTAGATCAACACGCGTGCATTTACTCAGATGGCTTCCTTTTCAGACAATATTGTCTCTATTAAGTCACCAGGGAAACATGATGGGTATATCCAAATTCATAGCTTCAGATTGTATTGAAAGGGCAAATTGCAGAGTATTTCCTGGTTTTCAGAATCTGCCACAGATGCACACAATCCAAATTGCAATCAATGCCAGCACTTAAGCGCTTGTGCTCAGATAATACCCCCCAAAGCTGGTTTTTCCTGGGAAACCTTTCAGAGAAAGAAATTGGTTAACTGTTTTTCTAGGAAACAATTTTTCTTGTGATTGTCACAGCATTCTTGTTTCATCTTTCTATCTAAAAGCCCAATGAGCTTTCATAACTTCCATGCCTGCTTGATTCTGGAAACGTGAAGACATTCATTAGGAAAAGGTTAATTGTATACTTGCATGATCCAAGTTTGGGTGTAAAAGTTGGGGTAAAAGTTTGAGAGGATTTTTCGTCAAAATTAAGCCACTCAACCTGTGTAAACTAATCTATAAGATATTTACACAGTGCATGAGCTGAAACCTACTCTCCACTCCTAATGTGAGCATAATGGAGCAAGGGTCCCAAGGTAAGCGATGGGTGATTTGAAGGGCAACAGGCAGCTCTCTTCCATGTTTTAACTATTCTGCCACATGAAGAGTGAATCTGGTGGAATTTGTTAAACACTTACTTTCGCATTAAGAAGTATAAGTCCAAGCAGTGATCTTGACACAGACCATTGGCAGTCTTCAAAAATGATGGTGATCATTAGGATTGACATCATCTGAAAGAAAATTCAGACATGTTTACACGAACATCAATGCTGCTTTTATACTGTGTGATATGCTGAGAAGGAAAAATTCATGAAACCTTTACTAACCCTGCTGGAATCACTGACATTTCCTATATGAACACGGTATCACAAAAGTCATTCTTCCAAACAAAAATTTCCATAGCCAAAACTACCAGGTGAAGAAAGTTAAAGAAAATTAATGCCAAAGCTCAGCTCTAAAGAAAAAGTTAAATTAACACTGCTCTAAATCTCAGTTCATATTTGGGTTTATTTCAAGGTACAGGCTTTGGAGCTTACTACAGGGATTTTCCCCATTGTGACACTATTTCCAGAGATGTGTGACCAGATCTGTACAAGTTTCAGAGGAATCCCAGGTTGCTCTTCAAGATTCTGGTTTTCCTGCATCCGCCTTTCTCCGTGTGACACAGCCAGGTGCTGGAAGGGAACACTCCCTCTTTCAACACAGGTAATTGTGATTACAGCAAGAGGTCTATAAATCTGTACCATTTCCACCACAGTTACAGACCCAACCTCTGAGTTTGGACATTTTACTTTACTTCTCTGACTTGGCTTACAGAGCTGTACAGCAGGGATAAAGCCACTTCCTCAGCTTTATAAAGCACTGAGATCTATCTGCTCACATAATTGGGTTCTGTTGGCACCCAAAGAGAAGCTGCACAATTCACTTTGCTCGTTGGCTGGCACCCACCCAGAGCCCCATGGAGCACCCTACCTCTGAGCCCTCTTCTCGTCCTGCTGTACTTCTGTACCTCTGGTGTGGGTAGCTGGGA